TCAACTACTTCTAGTTTGAAGAGCTTGGTTTAATACAAAATATTATTTCATCTACCTTGTCTCTCTTATAGTTTGAAGAGTTGATACTGAGAGTGAGCCTGGAGCACTGTTCTTCCTTCACAACTCCCTTCCCCACCAGCTAAGATAACCTCCTTTCCCACCTAATCTTCTAAAATCTTCTAGGGGAAACGCATCTACCTCAAGAATTAAAGGGATCTTTTCCTCACATTATCACTCAGCCTTTCTATCAGAGGGAACCTATTCCCAACCAATCAGCTCACAGAACTTGTGTGAGTGTGGAAGAATTCATTGATTTGTAGGGAGAGAGAATAAGGAACTGATGGATGTTTTTAGGGAAGAGTATTTTACCCAGAGAATGTTCCAAGTGTTGCTCATAGACTTTAAGGTCAGAAGGGTCCATTATGATCTTCTAGTCTGACCTCCTGCACAATGCAGGCTACAGAATCTTACCCACCGACTCCTGTAACAAACCCCTGACCTATATCTGAGCTACTGAAGTCCTCAACTCATGGTTTAAAGACTTCAAGGTTCAGAGAATCCTCCAGCAAGTGACCTGTGCCCTACGCTGCAGAGGAAGGTGAAAAACCTTCACAGAGGAAGGTGAAAGTCCTTGCCCCAAGGTGCTTAGTGTTGCATCCCTGACCATCCTGGCTAATAGCCATTGATGGACCTATCCTCCATGAACTTATCTAGTTCTTTTTTGAACCCTGTTGTAGGCTGCTGGTGCACATTGAGCGAATGTTTTCAGAGAACTATCCACAATGACTCCAAGACCTTTTTCTTGAGTGATAACAGCTAATTTAGATCCCATCATTTTGTATGTGTAGTTGGGATTATGTTTTCCAATGTTCAATACTTTGCACTTATCAACATTGAATTTCATCTGCCATTTTGTTTCCCAGTCACACAGTTTTGTGAGATCCCTTTGGAACTATTCACAGTCTGCTTTGGACTAGGGATGTAAAAATTTAACCAGTTAACCAATAAGCAAGAGTCTTATACTTCTGGGGGAATTCTGTGCGTGCGCAGAATTCATGTCCACTGCAGATTTCTTTTCTTCCCTGCAGAAAAATGACTTTGACAGGGAAGCAAAGGGAAGCTGCAAGAGCAGTCACACACCACTCCCTAGTAGTGCAGGTACAATGTTTCAGGCACCCAGTGGAGAGGTAAATCACCATGGGGCTGGGAACATCCCAGCCAGTGGCTCCTACCCTGATCCAGGATCAGCTGATAGTCCCGGCTTGGTTGGAGGCAGGAGAGGATGGGACTTCCTCTTCCCCTGCAAGGAGTGGCTGGGGCTGGGTCAGACACACCCCCAGAAACTTCTCCCAGCTGCAGGAAGCTCAGCATCCTGCCCTGCTTCCTGTCCCCATCACTCCTCAGCTGTGGAGGAGGGGTCACTGTATGGGGAGCTGCTCCCCCATCAACCCAACTCCTATGCATCCAGACCTCCCTGCCAAGCCTCATCTGATACATACAGAAGCCCCCTAGCCCTTCATACCCGAACCTCACCCCACTGAACCTCAACCCCTGTCTCTGGATGCCTACCCCTGCACCCAGACCACCCCCCATTGAGCTCCCTGCACTCAAACCCCCACCCTGATGCATCACCCTGAGCCCCCACATCCAGACCCTATGCCACTGACTGCCAACTGGCTGCACCCAGACCCCCACCAAGCCCCACTCTCCCAGCACTCCCCTACCCCCCCACCCCCGCTGAGAACTCCCCCACACAGAGCACTCTGCTGAGCCCCAACAAACTTTACCTGGAAGCCCCTGCAGAGTCCTATTGCATCGGGAACCCCCGCAATGAGCCTCTGTGCCTCCAGATCCCCCCACACCCAGACTCCCCACTGCCTGCCTGCATCCAGATTGTCTCACACAGAATTCTATCTCCTCACACTGAGCCCCTCCACACTTGGGTCCTGCCTGGTTGAGCCTGCCTGCCCCACACCTGCTGCACCTGGCACAGAGGGGGATGGCCCCAGGGTGTTTCTGGGGCAGGCCCAGGCCTTGTGCTGTGTCAGGGTTGGGTGCAACCTCTCCGCTGAGTCTGTGTCCTGGGGTGGGGGGGCTGCAGGGTGATCTTCCACCTTCGTGCAGCCAGTGGCCTGTGCTCCCTACTGTCATGCTGGAGCCTCTGCATTTATTTATTGACAAATAAAACTTGCAAAATTTTAAAATATTGTGTGCAGAATTTTTAGGCACAGAATGCTCTCAGGAGTAGTCTTACCGGTTTCGGTGAACAATTAAACTCCGCTGGCTGCTGGGACTCCTTAACGGTTAACTATTTAATTGATAAGAATTTTAATAGGTTAAACTGTTACTATTTTTAAACCCTATTTACATCCCTACTTTGGACTTAACTATCTTGAGTAATTTTTTATCGTCTCCAAACTTTGCAACCTCACTGTTTACCCCTTTTACCAGATCATTTATGAATATGTTTAACAACGCTGGTCTCAGTACAGATCCCTTGGCGACATCACTATTTACCTTTCTCCATTGTGAAAACTGACCACTTATTCCTACCCTTTGTTTCCTATCTTTTAACCGGTTACCAATCCATGAGAGGAACTTCCTCTTATCCCATGACATCTTTGTTTAAGAACCCTTGGTGAGGGACCTTGTTAAAGGCTTTCTGAAATTCTAAGTACACTATATCCACTGGATCACCCTTGTCCACATGTTTGTTGGCCACCTCAAAGAATTCCAATAGATTGGAGAGGCATGATTTCCTTTTACAAAAGCCAGGCTGACTCTTCCCCAACAAATTGTGTTCATCTGTGTGTCTGATAACTCTGTTCTTTACTACAATTTCAAACAATTTGCCTGGTACTGAAGTTAGGTTTACCAGCCTGTAATTGTGGGGATTGTTTCTAGAGCATTTAAAAAAAATTGTCATCACATTAGCTATCCTCCAGTCATCGTCTGGTACAGAAGCTGATTTAAGTGATAGGCTATGTATCACAGTTACAATCTAATTTCTTTCTTCCTTGTATGTTCTGCATCATGAAAAATTAACATAATAGCTATGTGATCATGATGCAGTGAGAAGAGTGTCTTCTGGACATGGAACCTGTGAGGTGGTTGGGGGAAGAAATAAAAAGTTGGATCTATCACGCTGTCTGGAGTGGCTCATGACCATGAGTGTTTACTTCAGAGCAGACTGTCAAAAACAGGGCAGACACCCCAAACTGGTGGTATGTTGGTAAAATGTAATTATACAACCCAGTAACAAATGTGAACTCCTGGATCACTGAAACAGTCTTACCATGGAGTCACAGACAGTTCCCTTAAGCTCTCCAGTCTATCTTGTCACTTAGGCAAGCTGGATTCAGTGATAAAAGGTCACTTACACCAAAAATCACAAAATAGTCAGGTTGCTTGCAATCCCAAGAGACCAGTCACTTACTCCAGCTCAGTTGGTATCTTGGATCTCTCATAAAAGATGCCTGTAGCCAGTTCTGTAATAAACTAACTAAAGGTTTATTAGCTAGGAAAAAGAAATAAGAGTTATATACAAGCATGTAACACAAATGCATTGCAATCTAAATCCTAAGAGTGATAGAGTTGTAGTGATCTGTCAATGCAAAATGTTCCCTCCCCCCCCCTTTTCCCCCCCCCCGGGCTAAACCATGCCAAGCATCATGGGGAACTCTATGGTTGTGTTTAGGAATCCTTGCTCCTCCAAGTCCACACAGAATAAGAGAGATTCAGTTTCTCCTCGTTAGGGATTTTTATCCCTTCTTCTCTAGAGCCCAAAACTGACGGGATAAGTTCATGCGTAGGCTTCTGCTTCCTGGAGGGAGTTAGGAATGCAATCAACAAAGTCTCTGTCCTTTGATGCTACAAAATAGGTCAGTTGCTTTCAATGGGCTATTCTTGTATGCAGGACAAGCACTTTATCGATGCTTCTTTTGTTGTTTGTTGTGTAACACAATTACAGAAGTTTACAATGCAAACACTCATGCATAATTTTGTACCATGGGCTATAGAGATTATAAATGAGAGTAATACATGTAGCATCCTACAAGCTTTTTATCAAGTCTAATCACTAAGCATGTTCTTATCAACTTAACACTTAATATCTGTTCTGATGATGCTAACACACAAGTAAACAAGACTGGTTTCCAGTTATGTATTTGTAAATGTTCAGTGAGGCCTGGGGCCTTGGCATGAGCTGGCACCTGGTCTGCCAGTATCACAGGATCATTGGGAAAGATCTCACTTGAAAAGGAAACTCCCACTCAGAAAAACAGAAAAACTTGCCTCCTCCCGGCTAGTTCTTCAACATTCTGAGAGCAGATGAGAAGAAAGTGGAGGGCAGTGGTCACGAGGTAATAATGCTGAGCGGCTGAGGAAGGAAGGATTTCTGACACTAAGTAAGCATTGTGTGGCTCACTCCTGGGGTGCATCCCTGAGAACATCTTTCCTTAAACTTTAAAGCAAAGCAAGTTTCATTCCTCAGAGGTAATTTCAGCTGTGCCTCACTTTTCAGGAGTATGGCTAGAGGCAGGCCAGGCAGAGCTTCCTGCCTTCCAGTTGGTGTTAATAATTTGCACTAACATAGTCCTAGAGACCCAAAATCAGGGCCCCATTGTGCTGGGCACTGTATACACACATAGTAAGAGATGGTTTCTGCTGCAGCTCATAATCTAAATAGGATCAGACAGAGAGAGGGTGGGAGGCGAAACAGAGGCCCAAAAAGTGGAAGAGATTTGCCCACTGTCACACAGCAGGTCAGTGGGAGAGCTGGGAACAAAACCCAGGTTTCTCGACTTACTGTCTGGTGCCCTACCAACTAGACCATGCTGCTTTTTTAGCACTTTGGCTCTCTGCTTAGGCTCTCTGCTTCTCTGTTAGCACCCCTTGTGCCACATGTTCTTCTAGTGAATTCGGGGGGGGTGGGCATCGGGAGTGCATTGCAGTGCAGCTGAGGGAATATAAAATGACCTCTTGTCTCTGTTTTGTACTAGGGTGAGTCGTGTGATGTTTGCCTTCCAACAATCACTGTACCAGAACTCCATGAATTCCAAAGCAACAGGAGGCTCAGCAGCCTTTGATATCTCCCAGCTTCCTGCCTTATTGTGACATTCCTTCTGGGTCCTTTATTTTCACCCATCTGAGGTGTATGGTGAAAGAGCTGCATCAGGAAAATTGCTGAGAGAGCGGCTTGCATACGAGGGAGGGCCATGGGCTTGAGCTCTGCCATCCTTCACCTTTCCTACAAGTTCAGGCTGCTGCTGATCTTCATCTTCTGCATGATGGTGGTGGCATGGGCCACCTCCAGTTACCTTGTGGACACTGTACAGGAGACTCCCAAAGCAAAGAGCTTGGTGGAGAATTTCAGGAATGCAACCATGCTGGAGAAGGAGAATCAGAAAAAGAAGTCCATGTCAACTGTAGAAGAAGTTCCCACAGTGAAGTCCACCGTGAGTCACTGCCCTGCTCTCTCTCCCTACCTGCGTAAGTGGCTCAGTCTTCAGTATCTTTAATGAATGAAATCTGCTTTTGTGCTACTGATTCCTTGTTTCCCCTCTAGCCATCTTTCACCCAGGTGCTTTTCCTGTGAATCAAACTCAAAGCTAGTGACAGTTGCATAAAAGATAAACTGCGTCCTCTCAACCGTTACATATCTGTTCACCCTAGAAATACTTAAGAAGTATAAAGAGATGTGTAGGACAGTTTAATACTTTATGGGGAGAGGTTGTTGGGTCCTCACCATGCCCAGTGGTGGTGCTTTGGCTAGGTAAACTAAACTAACTCCGGTAGCTCATGAGTTACCTAGATGCTGTCACCCTGACTTCATTCTGAAAGGCTAGCAAAAACCCATCATGCCAACACTGGAAGGAGATGGAATGGATGACATTTCTACTTGCCTATGAGACTAGTTTGGCCCATATGTACTTACTGTCTATGGCAGCCAGTTAGACAGGGGAACAGAAGGCGGGGAAGGAAAACCCATCAGAAATAGCTGTAGCAGCCTGATATCTGGATACTGTGCTCCATTGGCAACTGTAGGTACCTGGTTACTGGGCTCATTATGGGTCCCATACTGTGCTCTTCATTGTTTAATCTGTTAAATCTGCAGTACTTAAGTACAGCCCATCTTCTGAAATGTATATTGCAAAGTGCTGAACTCCAGAATAATAATTTAGTAGGAAATGGTCCTCTGCCCCTACCTGACTTGCTTGCTGGTTCCACTGCTTCCCACCCCCCCTTTTTCTTTTATGCTGAACCCTGCTTTTGTGGTAAGAGATTTCCATCCTCCTCACAACCCATACACTTCCGCTTTCCATCTCCACAGCAGATGTGAAAATCCTAATGGGAAATGAAATGCAGTTTCATAAGTGTATCTTCCTTTGACAAAGACTTTGTGACTGTTTTGGGGACTAATGCTATCCTCCTGGCTAGGGGTCAAATGGACATCTTCAGAGGCTTCCTTAGACTGGCCATTTTTATTAGTACCGTAGCTCCATGGAACTTTGAGCAGCCCATGGAACCTTGAGGTTTGCCATATTGGCCCATGCTACCTTTTTCAGCTTTACTGCCAGGGGGTGATTTCTGCGTTAGCAGCACAAAGCTTCTGGACCATGTCGTCCTCCTTGTATGCCCATGCTCATGCAAGCTGGTTGGGCGATGCTGACATTTTTTCCTGCCAAAAAAATAGTTTAAAAAAATTCATTTTTTCTGGGAATTTTTTTCAGTCAAAACTTTGCAACCATCTCTAGTCACAGTTGTGTGATTTCTTCTCCCCCAAGTGAGCTTTCTCTATATCAGCAGAGGCTATGATGAAAGATCAGCACAGCAGCCACTGAAAAGGTCTAATTTGGGCATGGGAATGTTGGATTAGTAAGAGGCATTTTCTGACCCTAAAATGTTTACATCCTTCAATATCCATGGTTAAAGCCATGATGATTTCCTGCACTTCTACTCTCACATCTCTCTCCACTCTCTCTCCCCTTGAAGCCCATATTGAAACAATGACTATCCTTCTGATTGAGTGGGACTCCTTTTATACATCATTGACATTGCTTCTTCAAGTGAATAAATGCTAAGCAACTCCAAGTATCCACTTCCTCCAGAACCCATGTAATGCCTTTACAGCACTCTCCATTCTATTTGATCTGGGAAGCAAGATAAATTAGAATTTGAGATTGAACCCAAGCTTCTCATGCTGTTGTATGGACTGTGTTGTAAAGGAGGTCAGACAAGATCATCAGAGTGGCCCCTTCTGGTCTCGGAATCTATAAATGCTGGAGTGCAGAGTCACTCCCATGAAGGCACTTAGCTAGTTTGAAACCAGAAATGAATTAAGAATGCTTCCTGTACTTCTCCTGCAGAGGGCCCCAGCAAGCTCAAGTTCAAAGCATCTCTCACATTCGAAGAGGTACGGAAGGAGAATCCTCAGGTGGCAAAAGGCCGGCATCGCCCTGCAGAGTGCTCAGCACTGCAACGAGTGGCCATCCTGATCCCACACCGCAATCGAGAGAAGCACCTGTTGTACCTGCTGGAGCACCTCCACCCATTCCTACAGAGACAGCAACTGGACTATGGTATCTATGTCATCCACCAGGTGAGGTAATCATGAAGGCAAGAGAACTGCTTGCCTGGGGGGGGGGGATAGGAGATTAATTAACTCCTGTGCATCCCAAACTCTTCTGCCCTGCGGATATTTCTCCTGGCTTTGTGATGGTGCCTCAGGGCTGGCTGTCTCCTTTATTGGCTAGAGGACAATGGCATTCCTTTTGTTCAGCGATCCTGTCTGAATTAGAGAAGCTCTTTAAAAATGTCCCACCTTCCCTAACACCAATTCAGTTCTGTCTGTGTTAACAGTGCTGCGAGCTTCAAGGCAAACTGGCTGGTAGCTGCCTCTTGTGCTTTACACAGGATGCCATCCAGCCTGCTCAGAACAAGTCTAATTATTATAGTGCTAACATGGATTTGGCAGCCCTTCTGCATTGGGGCTCACACTGGTGCTAGTACTGGGGAATCTGGACTATTGTTGGTAAAGATGGGAATCTTTTTAGAAAATGTCCTTGATGTAGCTAGAGCCTTCAAAATCATACATAGAAAGCCCTTGCCAGCCTGAAGAAACTATGAAATGTATTGTAGCTTAGTTAAAAGAAAAGGAGTACTTGTGGCACCTTAGAGACTAACCAATTTATTTGAGCTGTAGCTCATGAAAGCTTATGCTCAAATAAATTGGTTAGTCTCTAAGGTGCCACAAGTCCTCCTTTTCTTTTTGCGAATACAGACTAACACGACTGCTACGCTGAAACCTGTAGCTTAGTTAGCATTTCCGACCTAGGCCTTGAGGTGACCATCCTAATATTTGTTACTGAGAAAATTAACTTACCCAGCATGTTAAACTTACACAACCAGGATGAAACGTTCTCAGCCCCAAAATTTTGGGGGTGTTCAGATCAAGGATCTTGGTACATGGGTCTCTTCCACCCCTTCAGATAGTTTATTGATAGTGACAATCATTATTCACATCATAGTACTTGTGTACGAATTCTTGTTGTCTGGAATAAAACACTAAATAAGAGCTCTTTGGCATACAGATACCCTTTGAGTAGCAAAGATGAATGGAATGTGAAGTCCTGACAGTATGTTTGATACCTTCGAGATTCTGTTCACATTCAGTGGCTTTGCGCTAAATTAATTGCTAATTTTGTAGACCATTTTAACTCTTGCTTGGGTTTCTTTCATACCCAACACTGGTACTGTGGTCAGGTGAGCTTGAAGCATCAGTCTGCTCTGGGAGTGGAAGCCAGCAAATGCTTTTCTCGTAACCCAGTCTCATTTTTTCTGGGAGGGCTTTCTGTTTTTAAACTTCCATTCACATGTCTGCTCTACTTTGATTCACTCTTCAGATAGCAGGAAACAAATTTAATGCAAAACTCCCCACCCTGTCCTGTTTAAATAACCTCACAATTGTGTCATAAACCAACAAGAGGTAGGAAATTCTGAATGAAGGCCTATTTCTAGCCTAGGAACATCTAGGAACAGGAGCAGCAGTGATTGGCAGGATCTGCTTTTACTTGGAATATCCTGTTTTTTTTGTTTTTTTCATTGCTCTGAATCGGAGTTTTACAGGTTGGCTGAAGAGGGGGATGTCCTTCCTTTACTACTTTAGGATGTATTAAAGAAGGCCCCAAAGCTCCGTCTGTCTAATCTATCACCAGTGCCAAGTCTTGTTTTCCCTGTTTTGCTGGAGGGTCTTTCTTTTGAAGACCCAGAGATGTGGACTGGGACTCTCCCATATCCTTTATTGTTAGGGGGTAGTGATGGATAGGCACACTCAAAACCAGAATGTGTAAACACAGAGAAGGGATTTTGAAGATCAGCTGTCACTTGCTCTTGTTAACGGTGAGGTCATAACCTTATTAGTTGTCTACACTGTGTTCCAGAAAAAGCAGGGTGGACCACACCTGACTTTTTAATACTAAACATGCAGAGACTGCCTCTTGGGTGATGGGGGAAAGAATCATAGACTATCAGGGTTGCAGGAGGTCATCTAGTCCAACCCCCTGCTCAAAGCAGGACCAATCCCCAATTTTTGCCCCAGATCCCAAATGGCACCCTCAAAGATTGAACTCACAACCCTGGGTTTAGCAGGCCAATGCTCAAACCACTGAGTTATCCCTTCCCCCAAAGGGCCTTTTAAGTCTTCTCCATTGATCATGAAAAGGGCACCAAGCCAATTCTTTTCCCTCTGCAGGTCACCTTTACATTATTTTTAAAATATCATGTTTTTTTTTTAAGGGTGCTGGTGAAAGCCCTAAAGAACAAATCTTTCCTTTGTTCACAAAGTAGGTGCTGCACTGTTTGCCGCAATGTATTCGTCTCCCAGTGTGCCTTAAACTTGCCTATAGGGGGAGAGAGGGGAGTTTAATCTCCATGGATTATTCAGTCCTTGGGTTTAGGCTGAAACTGGCAACAAGAGGGCCAGTTAGAGCCAATGGTAATTGTGATGTGGCTTGCTGCATGTAGGAACTGGACTAGGATGACCTGATCAGTGACACCAAACAGCCTTCAGATGTTAGACTCTTTGTAACTACCAGCCTAGGCTGAATTTGACCTAATATGTAAATGAAAGGCTCCATATTCATACTCAACCTGTATGCATGCCTGCTCTTCCCCCAGGCTTACCATCCCCTGGATGTGAGAAGGAACAACTTTTTCAGACTCCTTCACAGAGCACTTCTCTGTCTCCCTGGATGGATCCTGAAAGGACCCCCTCTTATTCCTCTGAGAAGGGCTTTTAAACTCTTAGGGCATGGCTACACTTGCAGATGTAGAATGCTGTGAGTTAAACCCGCTTTCATACAGCTGAGTAGGGAAAGCGCTGTAGTCTGTCCACACTGACAACTGCAAGCGCACTGGCGTGGCCACATTTGTGGCACTTGCAGCGGCGTTGGGAGCGGTGCATTATGTGCAGCTATCCCACAGAGCACCTCTTCCCATTCTGGCGCTGTGGCTTGTGGGAATGAGGCGGGGAGTGTGGGGCATTCTGGGTCCTGTCCCAATGACCCGTAATGCATTGGTTCGCATCCCAGCATTCCCTTTGCTTCCGTCCACATTTGGCTCCATCTTTCAACGTTTTTTGTACTGCGTGCTCTGTCTTCCCTTTCGGTCTGTGGGAATGGAGCCCGAACTACTGAGGAGTATGCTGATGAGTCTCGCCAGCACGTCACGTTTGGCAGTTGAGTTATTCCTTATGATCCAAAGTGACAGTGAGGGCTCGACGATGATATCGACTCGAGTAACGCATATGACATGAGTTTGCTTGTGGCATTCACGGACATGCTCACTACCACAGAATGCCGCTTTTGGGCTCGGGAAACAGGCACTGAGTGGTGGGATCACATAGTCATGCAAGTCTGGGATGACGAGCAGTGGCTGCAGAACTTTCGGAGGAGAAAAGACACTTTCATGGGACTGTGTGATGAGCTCGCCCCCACCCTGTGGAACAAGGACACGATATTGAGAGCCGCCCCGATGGTGGAGAAGCAGGTGGCTATTGCCATCTGGAAGCCGGCAACTCCAGACAGCTATCGATCAGTTGCTAACCAGTTTGGAGTGGGGAAGTCGACCGTTGGACTCGTGTTGATGCAAGTTGGCAGGGCCATTAATCGCATCCTGCTCGGAAGAACCATGACTCTGGGTAATGTGCAGGACATTGTGGATGGTTTGCACAAATGGGTTTCCCTAACTGTGGAGGGGCGATAGATGGCACGCATGTTCCAATTCTGGCATCAGCCCACCTAGCCTCCAAGTACATTAATCGGAAGGGGTATTTCTCAATGGTTCTCCAGGCGCTTGTGGATCACCGTGGGTGTTTCATTGACATTAACACAGGCTGGCCCGGAAAGGTGCATAATGCACACATCTTTTGAACACTGCCCTGTTCAGGAAGCTGCAGGGGGGGACTTTTTTCCAGAGCAGAAGATCACCATAGGGGAAGTCGAAATGCCCATTGTAATTCTTGGAGACCCCGCTTACCCTTTAATGCCGTGGCTCATGAAACTCTACACAGGGAGCCTTGACAGCAGCAAGGAGCGGTTCAACAACAGGCTGAGCTGGTGCAGAAAGACTTAGGAGTGTGCATTTGGCCGTTTAAAGGGCCGCTGGTGCTCTCTGATGGGAAGCTGGACCTGGCCGATGACAGCATCCCCGTCCTTATATCCGCATACTGTACCCTCCATAACGTTTGTGAAGGGATGGGTGAAAGATTCACTCAGGCATGGAACTCAGAGTTTCAACACCTGGAGGCTGAATTTGCACAGTCAGAGAGCAGGGCTATTAGAGGGGCCCGGCGTGGGGCTGCAAGGATTAGGGATGCCTTGAGGGAGCAATTTGAGACTGAAAGCCACCAATAATGTCTGGTGCCCTGCATGGGAATGAATTGCAGTGGTTCCAATGTTAGTAGGAATCTGTGTTTGCTAAGCTGACTTGCAGTGCCTGTTTCTTTCCTGGGCTAAGGTATCTTTTACTTTATGCAATAATAAAGAATGTTTTCAAAGCCAAAAAATCCATTTATTGAAAAGAAAATTCATTTATTGAAAAGAAACACAACTGCTTGGGAAACAGAAAGAGCAAGAGGGTGGGGTGGGGAACGGTACAATCACAGATTTGGGTATGTCCTGTTATCATACTCAGCCTTCCTGTCTGGAGTGCTGTGCAATGAGTGCTGCACTTCAGGATGTCTAAATTCAGGATGGGGGTTGAGTGCAGAGGGTAAGAGTCGTAGTTTTCAGGGCTGGGTGGTGAAGCTACAGGTATTGGAGGCAGCTACTGGCGGTAAGAACCCGGATGCTGGGGAAAGTGGGTTGGAGGTGACATGGGAGCACAAGGGAAAGAGTTTTGGGACAAGGGCTGCGGCGGGAGGGCGGGCTTGGTAGTGCTCCGCCTGCATGGCTACGAGCGCCTGGGTGGAGTCCGCTTGGCGCTCCATGATGCTTATCAGCCGATCCGTGCTTTGCTGCCGGAGCACCGCGCTTTTGTGCCAGCGCTCCTCATTCTGCTGGCAGATCCTCCTTTCACTGTCCGTCACTCTTGCACTTTTCGATTTTCATTATTTGAATGCTGCATTACTTCATGCAACATCTTCCTTGCTTCTGCGTGGCCTCTTTCTGATTCTTTGGAGTCTTTCGGCTGATGATAACACAGACGGCTGAGATCTCAAGGTTGCATCTGTAAAGGCAAAATGCAACACTTAACAGAGGCAGCATTGTTCACACCAGAGCAATCATTCCCCCACTTAAGGGCAAGCACAATCTACACATAGCATAATTTGTCCATCCCAAAGCGAGCGCACATAACCCACAGGAGCCCCAAAATGGTGAGTAAGCACAGGGTCAAGCGTGATTGATCGTTTCACGGCTGTACTGTCCTCTGGGTTTCTGTGCCCTGGGGAGAGCCAACAGCATCGGGGGCCCCTATACTGAACACTGTCCCCACATTTTCCACAGGAGTCGTCCTGGAAGATATCTCACTGCTGAGGGTGACCTGGGAAGCAAGGGAGGGTCTTCTACTGCAATGCGGCTTCCGCCCTGGCCCATATGCAGCTTGCCTGTTTGCAGCAATGGTCCCCCCGCCCCTCACGGCACAGTGGCGTGGACATGTTAGCCTGACTGGGACAAGGACCACAGTGGTTCTCCTGAGAAACCTGCGCAAGCGCATTGCCCAAGTTCTGGAGGAGACCTTTGACGAGATCACCGAGGCCAATTACCGCGATGTGACAGAGCACATCAATGCCCTATTCCGCATCTCGGCATGCCTGCAGCCCTGACCCTCCTCATCCCAAGAGCCCGCACCGAATAACCTCCTTCCCAAAATAAAAGCCGCTTACCGGGAACCTCCTCTGGTATTTGTCCTTCCCCAAGCACCGGCTGCCGCCACTGGCGACCTTCCTCCTGGCTTGAGAGCAGCTCCTGGCTGCATGCATCTAGGGATTCCGGGATGTCTTCCTCCTCCTCAGCACCCGCACTCCTGCTTTTCTCCTCCTTCTCCTCCTGCCTTGTTGAACTGAGCTCTGAAGTGTCCATGGCGGTACTCGGAGTGGAGGTGGGGTTGCCCCCAAGTATCGCGTCCAGCTCTTTGTAAAAATGGCAGGTTTCAGGGGCAGCATTGGAGCGGCTGTTTGCCTCCTGCGCTTTGCGGTAGGCATTCTGCAGCTTCTTCAATTTAATCCTGCCCTGCAGTGCGTCCCGGTCATGGCCCATTTCCATCATATCCCTTGATATCTGCCTGAAGGTATTGTAATTCCTACGGCTGGAGCACAGGTGGGACTGGACCCCTTCCTCCCCCCAAACACCTCGCCATTGCTCCATACTGGGGCTTGCCTGGCGCGTGGAGGCATGGTCACCTGGAAAGATTCCTTGAGAGCACTCCACACCTGGCTAAGCAAACAGGAAGGTGATTTTAAAAATTCCCAGAGAATTTAAATGGCGGGTTTGATGGTTGGTCACCTGAGGGCAGGGCAGTAGAGTTCAAAGTGATGAGCAGAGTGGCTAGCAGAGGCATTGTGGGACACTTCTGGAGGCTGATCAGAGTGCTCTATAGGACCAGTGCATCCACTCTGGCGCCACGGCGCTCCAGTAAGGGTGCAGCAAACGTTATTCCACTCGCTGAGGTGGAGTACCAGCAGCGCTGTAGCCACAGACAGAGCGCTCTACGTGCCTTGCTAGTGCGCCCGGGGCTCCTTTATTGCACTGTAACTCGCAAGTAGAGCCAAGCCCTGAGTGTTTTGATCTCCAGGCTCCCAGCTTTGGCAAAACAACTCTGACACTTCAACCTGGAGACAGGATCCTAGAAGCTAACAGCTTGCCCCATTGTCTTCCAAGTATGCACTTGAGGCTGCTTATCTAGGTTTATTGCATTGCTTTCCTGTTTGTCCTCCCTTCAGATCTGCATTAAGTTAGATCAGTACAGTCTTATAGGAAATTCTATTAACTCACCATAGTTACACAATAAATGTACCTCCCTGATCAGGTCACTTAAATATTCATATAATTATTGCACATCAGTAGTCCTAGATTAATACATTGCAGCTCATTGTCTGTCACAACTGAATCCTATGTGTGTGTGTGTGCTGCTGTGTCTGCAGGAAATATATATTAGTCTAGGGTTAAGTCCAATGGCAACTGATAAAACAATATTGATCCTAATTTTTTAGTGATGGTTTTATAAAAATAAACATTTGTTATACTTATAAGAAGCACACGGGATCTTTATAGGGGAGAAGGCAGCATGCCGCATTTATTGAGAATACAACAGTTAGCATATGCTTTTCATTCACACACACAGTCCTGCCAGTCGATGTTTAGAGTTACGAGACCAGAGTCTGGATCCAGAGCCAGCCAGATTGGTCGCAGAGGGGAGCAGGGCTCTGTCTGTCGCGATCCGATGCTCCTGGAGTGTGACAAGATGAACCCAAAGTCCCATGGCCAAGCACCCTGTTCTTATAGTCTTTTTTCTCTGTTGAAGTCTATGGATTTTGCTGTGTCAGTTTGTGACCGGTTACTTCTTAATTGGTGTATGTTTTGATGTAAACTTTCCAATAGACCTCCGAGAGGGTCATCCTGTCCTGATTCCGATGTAATCAATTGTCCTGCCTTTAGGGGTGCCAGCCTTCACCTCAGGGTCGTCAATTTGCTCTTCCTTCATTATGGATGTGTGTTGATGATTTTGTGGTGTCATTAAGACTCTTTACTCCTTCTTCCTTGACCATCTGGCTATAACAATGGCCTTCACACCTTATCTTTTCCTGATGCATACATTCCTCATACACAAACAGTCTTTTTACAGAGACCTTTGAGAATACGAACAGTGTCTGTTTATTTTGAATCTTCTTAACATAGACACAGTACAAGATCCTGTCTCTTACTTACTTAACCTTAAAACAAAGAAATGTATATTTATCTAGAGTGCCTAATTTACATATAGGAAACCATAGTAGACATTATAACTTATCCTAAAACAAAAGGGTGACCATAATCAGTCATAAGGATTGTTCTGGTCTGTCCCTGCCTTAACATCGGTACAGATACTGGCAGTCTGTCAGATGCATTTCTACCAATGTCCCAGAGGGTCATTCCTTTCTGCTATTCAAATGGGGGGGTGGCTGGTAAAATGAAATCAAGACCTACATTAGTACCTCTTCTCTTATAGTACAATTATAAAATCCTGCTCCTACACATTGATAAAGATGGAAAATAGTCAAGTTCCTTTTTAAAGGGAATGTGAACTGTCATTCTCTTTCTGTTTGCACTGCAGGCCGTTGTTCACACATAGCCACAGGATGTGTTCTGCAGGCTAGCGTGTGGGTGCGTGCGTGCGTGCATTCAAATGCATGCATGCTCATGAGATGGCTGCGTCATTGCTCTAACTGAATTTTGTCACCATCATAGGCTTAAGAAACGACTAACTACAGCTCAAAATTCTTCAGCTACAATTAAAATAAACCTATAGAACAGATCCTTCTGAAAAGGGAAGAGGCACCAAACTATAGCAAAAAGTAAACATGTACAATCCAGTAAAAAATAGAATAGAATAAAATAAAATCCGAAGCCAGGAGTCCCGGTACAGCTCTGTGTATATAAAAGACAGTGTGTGTAGATTGCGAGTAGGGTACCAGACTGTGTGGTAGGAGTACCACATTTTTTCCCTAGCTCTGCACATAATGTGTGACCTTAAGCAAGTCACTAACTTCTCTGTGCTTTAGTTTCTCTATATGGAAATAGCAATACTTTCCCTTGTTGTAAAGTGCTCGCAAATCAATGGAGGAAAAGTGCTAAATTTTAGAATACAGTTATTTTTTATGTTTATGTAACTCATGCTAATAATAACTGCATTTACACTCCACGCTTTCTAAGCCACATGGTCGTTGCTCTTTCATTACTTTGTCTGATGGAAATTCTAAGGCAAGAAGTGATGGGAGTAGAATAGTATCACACAACTTAGGTTACTTCTGGCAGCTAGATAACATTGTGCCTTGTCTGACTCTGTCTATGGCCATTCATGACAGGTAGGGGATGAAGAAACACCTCACAATATTGGCTGCTTTGATGCCCAAATATAATGTCAAGGAATAGCTCTTTGTTTGGTGTGAGAACTTGGTACAGTATAAAGGCTGAGAGCCATGAAGGATACTGTAACCTATGCGATTAGGATGGAATCCAGGCAGGTTGCAAATAACCTTTAATGGGTTTGATGTATGCCTTATTTTCCTTTCCTTATTCACAGGCTGGCAATACCAAGTTTAACCGAGCTAAATTGCTGAATGTAGGATACTTGGAGGCCCTGAAGGAGGAAAACTGGGACTGTTTCATTTTCCATGATGTGGACCTGGTGCCAGAGAATGACTTTAACATGTACATGTGTGACAAACAACCAAAGCACCTTGTAGTTGGCAGGAACAACACTGGGTACAGGTAGGAATGAAAGAGCTTGGAGAACATTTTGACTAGTAATTGCCAGATTGTTGGTAACATTCCCCTTTCTAAAGGACCCTTAGATTGGTGCCATCTCATATGATAGGTGCCCTTCTATAGTGCCTTCCATCCAAGGATCTTTACAAACATAAATGAATCTAGTCTCTCAAATCACCAGTGAGGTAGGTCACTGTGGTTAGCCCTGTTTCTCACATGGGGTAATGGAGGTTCTGAGGGGGCTAAGTGATGTACCACAGGTTATGCATAGACACTGTGGCAGAACCAGGAATTCATTTCAGGTCTCCTGGTCCTGTGATTTTAGCAGGATCATCCTCCCAAAAGTTACTCTAATAAAGTTTCCTCTTCTGTAAGATCTTCATATCAGGCCTACATCTGTAGAAGAGGAAACTGTATTAGAGCAACTTTAGGGAGAATGATCCTGCCTCTCTCATTAGCTGTTTTTACAGCTCATAGCACAGGGGGGTCCTGATGACAGTTGGGCCCTCTAGGTGTTACTGAAACACAAATAATATATCTAGAGTGTGAAATAGGAAATCAAGTCCCACCCGCCTCAAATAAACAAGGCCCTCAAATCTGGCCTGAATACTTAGAGGAGTTTGAGTAGGAATGTTGTAGCCTTTTCTTTGAAAAAGATGTCCTTCCTTTTTTTATGCCATGCCAATACAAATATTAGTGATAAAAGTTGTGCTACTCAAAAGCTGATCTGCAGTGTGTAAAAGTAGAACTCTTTTATACCCTTTATAAAGAGATGTGGGGGAGGGGAGGGGAGGGGAGGGGCAAGGAGAAGACTTTAATGTGCAGATCCTTACATGAGATAAACAGCCGCTTACCATATCTTTCCCAGAGCTGAAGAAGAACTCTGTGGAGCTCCAAAGCTTGTCTCTTTCACGAACAGAAGTTGGTCCAATAAAAGATATTACCTCTCCCATTTTGTCTCCCTTACCACTCAGTCAGTCTAACTCCAGGATTCCAACCAGACTCATAACAGATTTCCGGAAGTACTGTGCCTTGCAAAGAGAATACCAGCCCACTGAACACAGTAGAAGCAAGCACCCCCGTTATTCAAGAGTCAGTTGGATTCCAGAAGAGTAACAATGGAATGACCCTTGAGGCACTTGAATGGCCTCAGATGCCCTAGTTACTGTATCTGTTTTGAGTAATGAATCACAGATGAATTTTTGCTCTTACTAGCGATTTTCTTCCAGTTAATTTTCTAAGCCGCCTTTTGTCCCTGGGAAAGAGCTGTTAGTTTTCATTCACATGACGTAGTGGTTTGAGCCTTGGTTTGGAGGCGGGGGGGAATCCGTCAGAGGGCTAGGTATGTTGTTAAGGCACTGGACTGGTGATCTTGGGTTAATTCTTGGCTCTGCCACACGCTTCCCATGTGAGCTTGGACAAGTCACTTTTTAAAATCTCTGCCTCCTGTACCCATCTTTAAAATTGGGACAGTTCTTCCCTATATCCCAGCAACTTCATTATCGTGTGAGAGAGACTCCGATCCTATGTTCAGGAGAGCCATGTAAGAACCTAGACAGATAGAGCCCTCGTGCCTGGGACCACGGTCTTAAAACCCCATCGGGATATTGACTAAGCCTTTTGTCCTGCTGAGGTGGCTAAACGCGGCAGTTTACTAGGTGCAGATCTTTCAAACAGGACCCAGGCGCTGACTTTTGTTTTTCCCAGGGCGTGCACCACCCTTGGTTGGCTTCTTCCCTGGAGGCCCTGCCCTTGCTCCGCCTCTTCCTGCCCCTGGTCCGCCGCTCCCCCGATGCTCCCCTCCCATAGGTGTAGTTTGACTGCTGTTTTGTGGGGAGGGGGCAGGAGTGTGCCCATGCATGCACACAGGTGCACACTGAAGCCAGTTTCTTTGGCTCACTGCCTCTCTCCCCCTGCCTGGAGTGGTACCGGGGGTGGTGGTGGGGGGAATGAATTGGCTTAACAGGGGAGCCCCAGCTGCTGCTGGCAGCCAGTTCGGTGCCAGCTGTGGCCGCAATGTCACTGCTCTAGTGCTGCTGCAGCCACCTCCCTGCTGGGGCTGTTGGTGCTGCCGAGCAGATGCCACATGCTGGGCTCCTGCTTCCTCCCCGCCCATTCCCGTAACCCCTCCTCTTCCCTCTCCCCTCCCCCTTCCTCTCCCCACTGTCCCCTGCCCCATCTCCTTCTCTTTCCCTGCCCACTGTCTATTCTTCCCCCCCCACCCCCGCACATACCGTTGTATGGTAAACAGGCAGGCATTAGGACCCAGGAGGCAGCAGCCCGGAGCACTGGAGAACAGCTGCTCTGTCCTGCCCGCTCTGCTCTGCCTGAGCCAAAACATGCCGGGCAGGGTGGGTAGAAGGGGGAGGCCTGCCCTGCGGGCCAAGCAGAGCAAGCCTGCTCTACAGCTCAGTGCTCACAGAAATCGGGGTGAGGGGGGGAGAAGTGGCACATGACTCCATGTAACACCCCCCCCACACACACACACACCCTCACCTCTGTTTGAGGGGAAAGTGCCTCCCTGCACTCCCCCAAACTGTGCCCGTGCCCTCTCCCCTGAGCACCTTCTGCTGGCTGCTCACTCCTTTCTGTCCCTCCTGCCTTAAGGGCAAGTGATGGGGGTGGAGAGGAGCAAGCGGTGGAGGCTTCGGGGAAGAGGTGAGGCAGGGGCATGAAGAGGCACCACGTGGGCGGGGCCACAGGGGAAGAGCCAGAGTGGAGGCAGGGCTTCAGTGCAGAGCGCGGGCGGGACCACTGTCCATGGGTGCTGAACATATCCTATTTTTTTTTTCCGTAAGTGCTTAAGCCCCAGAGCATCCACAGACTTGGTGCCTGTGAAACAGGACCTTAAAATGCAAGGGCCTATCTGTTGTACATAGACACTTTTATAGGGCATTTTTTGTAAAAGGAGGGATTTGCCCTAGTGGCTTTGTAGAAAATCTCTCATCTCCTGTTGCTATGTGGTGACTGTCTACTTGGCTGCTGCACTCACCCCAGAGTGGCTACATTTCGGTAGTTCTGTATTTGTATAGTTTGAAATTTGATCTTTGATTCTTTGGGACGGTAAGAACCTTTTCTCCTCAGACTTACAATATTGAATCCCAGAAGTTGAGGATGGAAAACCCTTCTAGCTTCCTGGGGCCAGAACACAGTTGTTGCTACTGTATATTTTCTAGTGTGTTTTTTTTTCCCAGTCTAGTTTTAACAGTCCCAGGTGAGAGGCTTCCACCTCTTCCCCTAAGAAAGAACGCCTCTGAGGTTGCTGGAACACTAATACACGCACAACCGGGTCATTAGGTGGAGTCTATCACTCCTTTCCTATTGCTTTGTTAAAAGCCCATTCACAAAACTCAAAAGAGATTGGCTTTTCCTGTTGTAATAAGCTGTTTTCAGCCTTAAAACCTGTTGTGCAACAGGGTGTCTTGAGTAAAGCAGGTTTGTGGAGCTTCACCTGATGAACAGCGGATTAGAAACAGCTCTTTATTATCCCCACTGTTGTGCACAACAAGTATTCACTGTTCCGCAGATGGGCATCCTGGAATTTCCTCAAGGCTGGGATGATGCCACTTGATTTGCTTCAAACAACAAAATCACATTCACATTGAGGCCCATAGGTTAATGGCTATAAACCCTTGTTTACTGTTCCAGCAAATGTGGATTATGGTGAGCAATAGGGATAATCACTTGGCAACACTATTGCAGGGAGTCCAATGACACATCCAATAGAGAGCAAAATTGGATTGTGAAATGGGTGAGGTGTGTGTATATGAGGCCTCATTATAATTCTGTTTACTTTGCACAGATCTAATGTGACTGGCCTGAAATGAATTCAAAACCTTGAATTGAAGTCAGTGGTTTTTTGGTCCCTCCCCATTCCTTGGCAGGCTTAACCCACTGTCCCATTTCAGATCGCTAGAAGAGCTACTAGTTTTAGGTGCAAGGGCTTATGCTTTCAAATGGGCTTGCACTCAAACCCCTGCATTTGTCTGTACAGATGAGGTACTTGCTGGTCCATCTAGCTGATCAAATCAGTCTGCTTTTCTAAACCACCCATCACTACAGTTTGTATGTGGTGAGACACAGCTAAAATTCCCAGCAAGTTCTATCCAAAATAGGATCTCAAACCCTTTCCCCCCCCATCAATCCTTGCATGCTGCAGCCTGATGATCTCCTTTGGCATGCTGGGGGAGGAGGTGAAGGGAAAGCAGGAAGAGAAGTTGTAAGAAGGAGGAGAAGAAGAGAAAGAAGAGGTGAGACATCAGAGGGAGAGTGTATCCAGCCAGAACAGCGTCTTTCATTGCTCACAGATAGACAAGGCATGCTGTCTCTAGAGAAGCAGACTGCAGTCCCAGAGAGTGACAGGAGTACAAGGGGCAGCCTAAATCATCTGACTGTAGAAAGAAAATAGGCTGGGGAAATAGGTGGGTGGGAGCCCTTATTTTGGTCATTGGTAGGAGACTGTTCCATGCTGGGCACACTAAAGAAATGATCTTGGGTCTTCCAGGCTCAGTTTACTTTGCTTATCTTCTGTATAAACTGCAATGGACACCTTCTTCCAGTCTCTTCAGCTTATGCATTACATCTGCTTAGACTTACTCACCAACATATAATTTATAGCCACTTGCATATCACCTGGCAGGCTGTGTTGTAACCCAGGCCTTGAAGGCCAGAGGAGCGGAGTGTGTCAGAAAAAGCAACTAGCAAGAGGGTAAAGGGGCGAGTAAAGTGTGTCACCTAATTGGTGTAATTTCCAGGACAGAGAAGCTAGAAGCTGAAATTAATCTCCCTTAGAGTCAAGCTCCCTTACACTAATCTATCACTATGTAATTTACACTTTACAGTATCTTACACATCACCTCTGAATTTGTCCTGCAGTGCCTCTAGCTCCGTACCATTACAATCTGTTTTTCATATCCAGTCTTCAAGATTTTACTGTCAAATTGTAATACTACCAATCCACTGATTAGAAAATAGCTTGCCTTCCTTTCAGTATGTCATTGTGT